GTACAACTGCCCAAACAATTGGGCATTACCAGCATTTCTGAATTAGCCACAGAGTCCTTGGTTCTCCCCCTTGGAGCCATGGGAAGAGCAGAGGTTTCAGCCTGATCTTTGTCAATGTGCATCTTGGCCGGGTCACTCCCCTTCTTCCAGCCTGTTTCTTCACCCAAACAGTGGAGGTCAAATTGGAGATCTAGCAAATTCCCTCCAGCCCAGATTCTAAGAATAAAAATTTCTTGGAATTTGTCCTTGTAGCTATGCTCCAAATCCCTAATCGTTCAGTCTGCTGAGCTTGGGTCCCTCTTTTCTGGGTTTGGGGGAAAGGTATGTTTGCAGGGTTTCATGTGCTTGGGCCCAAGGCATGAAATGTAATCATGAGCATAAAGTGGGTGTCCAAATAGCATGAAGAAGAAAATGCAGGGGCCTGCAGAGGTGTGGTTAGCCCTCAGTATAACAATAACAATCATTGTCATCATCATCATCACCATTATCATCATCATAAAGGAAGCTGGTATTTATTGAGCTCTTACTAAGTGAAAAGCCCTGAGCTCAGTCCCTCATGTGGGTCATGTCATCAATTCTTCCAACAACCCTAGAGGCAAGAGCACATATTACCTCCAATTGACAGATGAAGAAACAGAGATGTTAAGCAACTTGCCCAAAGTCACACAGGTCATAAGCAGTGAAGCTGGGATTTGACCCTGCTCTTAATCCCTATGCTGCACTCATTCCCCCTGGCATTCCCCTTTCGCCCCACAGTAGCAACACCAAACATTCTGGACTGGGCATTTAAGCTTCCTGAAAGACAGCCCATGTCTGCCCATCACGCTACTTTGAATAGGAAGTTCCACAAAACAACTAATTCTCGTGACAAATTCCCTCTACTCCAGTTCCCTGAAACTTTTTATAAAGCCCAGATACTTCAGAAATGAGCCTTAAGCATTTTCCCCTTTCTCCTGCTCCCCCATCGCATCCAGTTGGTTCCAAACCTCTTTTGCTGTTTAACTACCTCTTAATAAGCCCATTTAGTGTTGCACCACTTAATTTCTTCTTGAGGCAGAATCTGCCAGATGGAGTCTTTGTCCCAAGCCATTCGCATCCAGTTGGTTCCAAACCTCTTTTGCTGTTTAACTACCTCTTAATAAGCCCATTTAGCGTTGCACCACTTAATTTCTCCTTGAGGCAGAATCTGCCAGATGGAGTCTTTGTCCCAAGCCATGTTGACTTGTCTTATTTTTAAACAGTAGTGAACATCGTATGAAACTAAAATAGCAGTCAGTTCCCAGGTGTGGCCTTACTGAGCAGGGGGATGATCAAGAGTGTATGGACACGTCCACCTGGGGCAGCTGCTCCAAACAGGCTGGGTTAATGAGGGGATGACTTCCACAGGAGGCTCCTGGCAGCTGCAGGTCATGTCCCAGTGTCACTCAGTGCAGGAGCACACAGCTTTTCTGCTTCAGCCGGATTCAGACATTCCAGCTCCCCTGGCTGGACCCCCTTGGGCTGTGCATCCCTGGCTTTTCCACAAACATGCTCCCAGCAGTTGAGGAGACAAAGTAGACCCCAGGGAGTTGGGAGGCCAGCACGAAGTGGCCCAGTGCAAGAAGGAAATGTCCCTGATGTTTCATTTTTTTATTCCTAGAATCCTATACAGTTTGCATCTGATTCCATAACATAACTATGTTTAGGTTACTATAAATGTTAATTCTTCAAATTACATACCAGGCAAATTACTAAACTATGCTCTCCCCCCCAAAATAAATATTTTTTAAAATAAACACCCCCAAATTATGCTGCATCTGATTCCATAACATAACTATGTTTAGGTTACTATAAATGTTAATTCTTCAAATTACGTACCAGGCAAATTACTAAACTATGCTCTCCCCCCCAAAATAAATATTTTTTAAAATAAACACCCCCAAATTATGCTGAACCCATAGCTTTAGTACTCCTGGACACCCAACAGGGTATCCTTGAGGTATGAATGCCTGTATCTGAGAAGCACAACCCCAGAGATGGACAATCTCTGTCTTGGAGAGGGAAGAATTTCAGCAATAACTGAAAATGTTTCATCACCATCACATATCTGCGCATCGTCCTAAGGAAGAGAGGATTACATCTAAAGGAAAGACAGAGGCGATTATTACAGTTCAGCAGTGACCGCCTTGGGATCCAAGGAGTAATATGAGGAAGACAGAGACTGGTCTGAACAACAGCTTATGGGCGGCTCCATTGACCTTGTGATACCTACATCACGATGGGAATTGACAAGAGAACACTTCAGCCCAGATCACAGACCTCACTATTCATAAAAATGTATATGCAATAAGCTCATCTGCATAACTCACCATCTTCCATTACCTTAGTAACCCACATCCCATTCTAAGCAGTGGAGTCCTTTTTAAGAAAGGGGAAGAATGAGATTCCACATCCATAAGTGGATGTGTGATGGCCTTGCCTTTGATACACCTCTGTATGCAGCAATCCCAAATAGCATTTGCCAAAACCTTTGGAACCTGTGTGCTCTGGAAGTGATAGCAATCAGGATGTGGCTCAAAGTCAAAGGTGTTCTCCCTAAATCCAATCCCGAATACCAGGTGGAGTGCCGAGATTATAGCAGTCAACTGATATCCCACATCCCCAAAGGCACTATCTATTAGGACACAGAAGCCAAAGAGGAATGCAGACAATCAGAGTGATAATCTTTTGTTCCTGGAGCAATTTTGCTGTAATATTTAAAACCCCCCCTTTTTTTAAATCAATCTCATAAAATGAAAAAAAAAATCAATAGAAAACCAGTTCCTCCTTCATGCTAAGAAATTCCTTTTCTCATACAGAATACAACACATTCTAATCCCTTTAAGTAGCCTTATACTTGGGTATTTAACAGGTATTCCCAGAATGGCTTTGAGGAAAAAAAATATCATCCCCTGATTCAGCAGAAAGACCACGAAGTATTTGACAGTTATGATGGTACTCTTGGCAGGAGAGTACCCACCCTGACTGTATAAATAAACAAATTTTTAAATAAGCAAATTCATTTCCAAAATGACACAGGGAAACAAGCATAAGGTTACTGCCCCTATCCTCCATAGGAAAAAAAGTGATATGGGGCAGAGCAGAAGCATAGAGGCTAAAGAAAATTGCTCGGAAACCTTTCAGATGCTTTTGCAGGTGAGGAAGAATTATTACTAAAATGCTACATACACATTCCCCTTGAAATACTCAGAAGTGATCTCAATAGCCACTTGGATGATGTGTATGGCCAATAGATTGGTTGAACTGCTACAGAACTCCGTGGTTCTTTCGAGTTACAAGGCTGCTCCCCAATTCTAATGTCCGTGATGATTTTATAGACTCTGATCAGATCTTTCTTTGGCTTTCCAAATGAAAGCACCTTCATTTCAGGGGGTTGGGGGAGTCCTCTGGAAGGATCTTTTATGACCAGGAAGATGGGATCTTAGCAGGACTTGTCTGGGTATTCCAAAGAGCCCCCCCAAAAAAAGAAGACACCAAACCCCTCATCCTCCTCAGGGAGTTTTGTGAAGTCCAAGAAGAAAAGTGGAATTCCTTTTATATCTTTTTCTCCTTGGAAGAGTGGACTCGTCATGCCCAGGACAGCTCAGATTCCAACAGAAACAGAAGCAGTAACATGCCCAGAGGGGCTCAGGACCACAGCAAGAGCCACACAGCAAGAGCCGGCCTCTGCAGGCCTGGCTGTGCTCAGGGGCACCCAGCTCCAAGCCAGCAGGGCTCATTTCAAAAGACCACATGGGGAATATTGGTTTGGTTCCAAATCTCCCATTTGAAGAGATTTCCAAACACAGCCTTAGAAGAACCCACACCTCCAGGACACATCTAGAAACTATGTTACACCAGGAATAATTGAGGACACTTGGAAAGTTAAACTTGACTTGACATGTCCAAAAGGCTTCATGAAACACCTGATGAGTGCTGTGAAATATTTGAAGAATGGTGGAAGATGAATACACCAGACTACCTGGAAGAGCAAAACCAGGCTCGGCAGAAGGAAGTCTTTCTGAAATGAGAGCTCTTTGAAAATGGAATGTACTGCCTGGGGGAGCAGGAAGTTCTTTCACTGGAGGTGCAAAAGCCAAGGCTACACAGAGAGGGGAATGTTTTGGAGCAGGTAGTATATCTGAGCAGTGAAGACGGTGGGCTTTGGCATGTAGTTGGACTTAGACTCAAGTCCCAGCTCAGTTTTTGTGAGACTAAGACATTTTTCTTCGAACCTCACTCTCCTCATTTGTGAAATGGGTATGATAACATCTACTCCAGTGAGTTACGATGCAAGTAAATGAACTAGTAATTAACACCAGTGCCTGGCACATGAGAAATGCTAAATTTGCCATTATTACTGCCACTGTTATCTGAGCTTAACAAATTGGATAGGAAGATAAAGTGCATAACTTTGTCAGATGTCCCATCCTATAGAAGTTCCTGGTGCCTTCTTCCTAATTTCCCCACTGCCCAGAGTTTTCCATTTCAGCACTGCTCCAGATCTTCCTAGACAATGTCTTCATCTTTCCTACCACCACTCTCCTGCTGATAATCAAGAACAGTCTTTTCTGTATCCTCATTCCTTGAAACCCTGGTTTCTTTGGCGATAACTGGCTATTCTCATAAAGAATGTATATTAAGAGTACCCCATTAAAACAACAGTATAGTTACCTTCTCCTTCAAATTTTTTTCCCATCTAGGAAGCCAGGGCTGACCACAGTACCCCTGGTCAAGGCCCAGCAGTCAATCAAAATTGATCGTGAGGACAGATCTTTTACTAGAGGGATCCTATAGATCATGCCCAGCTGTTCTAGAGAGATTATGATGGTGGTCATTTGAGGAAAATTAGAATACAGAGTAATGTCATGAAAGGCTGATTTGGGACATACTTAAGTACAGGGGAAACCTTCCTCTATTCACCCATTAATTTTCTGAGGAAACTTAAAGCTCACTCAGACCCCTTCTTTCTCCCACCCAAGAAAAGAGCAGAACTACGTGCGGAGGCGCTGGAAGGATGTGCATGTGGGAGACTTTATCCAAATGCAATGCAATGAGATCATCCCAGCAGACATACTCCTCCTCTTTTCCTCGAACCCCAGCGGGATCTGCCACCTGGAAACCGCCAACTTGGATGGAGAGACAAACCTCAAACAAAGGCGTGTTGTGAAGGGCTTCTCACAGCAGGTAGGGCTCTTCTCACACCTTCAGTGGTAAGGACAGAGGGAGGAAGCAAGCCCACTCTACCGGGAAATCAAACTCAGCCTGGTGGGGTGGAGGGGAAAGTAGTGGATGCCTTCTTTTCATAAGCGCTTCAGATACACTTAATCCTCCCAACAACCTCTCAGACGGGTATAAGCCCCATATCACAGATGACTAAACTGAGGCTTAGAAAACTTAAATAACTTGCTGAGGGCCTCAGAGTTCCTAAATGGGGACCCACTCTCTCCAACTAAAGAAACTGCTGTCTGCTCAAACCCAAGGAACCTAACGTCTGTTCATTCACCCTTGGGACCAACCCACTCTTCTGTGCTCATCCAGTCCTCTCATTCTGCCCAGCTCAGCACCAGCAATCTTTCCCTTCATGAATCTTTTCTCACCCTCCTCTGACCCTCCTGAACTGCAGCAAGGAATTATTAACTATTTTTCCATTTGCATACACCTTACCTTCTCCGTAGTACTAAAACCTCTTTGAAGACAGGGAGCAATCATTGACACTTTTGTTGAATCCCCACATATGCATAAATGGTACCTTGGGCATCATGGAGAAATGATTACTGTTTGCTGGTTAAGAGCTCAGGCTGTGGGGTCTGGCAGAGCTGGGTTCAAGGCCCAAGTCCTACCACCTATTAGCCATCTCACCTGAGGCAGGTTATTACCCTCTCACATCTTAGTTCCCTCACCTGGAAAATGAAGACAAAAATAGTACCCTCTCTATAAGGTGATTCTGAAGACTAAATGATAGGTACATGAGTTACTTAGCATAGTAAATAATTGGTATTAACATTGATAGCTTTCAAACAATGTGTGTTGACTGACTGAAACTAGGTATGATATTCCTGATCTCCAATATGGTACCTTTCTCTATCTATGGAAAAGAATAAAATTCTGATTCTTTCCTTCACTCTGCCAGCCCCTGGCTGGGGAGAAACCGAATGAGTCAGGGGATTTAGGAGAAAGAACACAGATGCTTCACTCCTCAGAGAGCCTCATGAGCTGGAGTTCAGTTTTGTAGATGAAACTTCTGAAAAGGAAACAGCTCATCATACCTCACCTTGCCTCTCTCCAAGTACTTGATAAACAGTTCTTATAAAATCCTTTGTGCATGATTGATTCAGTCCTCAGAAGTCTGCTCTCTCATCCTTACAATGGGAATAATAATAGCTATCCCATAGTTTTACTGTGAGATTCCAATGGGATAAGGAAAGTAAAGAATGAAATATCAGGTTTGGTACCTAGCAGATGCACAATAAATGGTAACTATTGCTGCTGCTGGGGCTGCAGTTGCCACCACTAGAAATGGAAACCACACTGCCATCAGCAGCCCACCCGCTGGTCTCCAGGCTCTGAGTCAATCACTGAATTGGGGCTTGGTCTCTGTGTTTTCTCTCCTTGGCTTGTCCCTGCCACATTCATGAATCACCCCAGTGTTCACAAAAAGGCAAGGTGAGATCTGGTCTGCCATGGATTGAATGTCCTCCCCAAACTCACTGGAGCCTGATCCCCATCGTAACCATGTTAAGAGGGTGAGAAACCTGACTATGATATTCGAAAGGTGAGAACTTTAAGAGGAGATTGGATCATGAGGACCATGCTCTCATGAGTGGATTAATCTATTCATGGAGGAATGAGTTAATGGTTTAGTGGGTTGTCATAGGAAGAGCACTGATGGTTTTATAAGGAGAGCAAGTGAGCAAATTAGAGAGCTCTTGCCATCCCTGTCATGTGATTACCTGCATCACCACGGGACCCTGTAGAGAGTTCCCACCCAGAAGAAGTCTCTCTCACCAGATGCGCCCCTGGACCATGGGCTTCCTGGCGTCCAAAACTTTGAGAAATAAATTTCCACTGATGGTTTTATAAGGAGAGCAAGTGAGCAAATTAGAGAGCTCTTGCCATCCCTGTCATATGATTACCTGCATCACCACGGGACCCTGTAGAGAGTTCCCACCCAGAAGAAGTCTCTCTCACCAGATGCGCCCCTGGACCATGGGCTTCCTGGCATCCAAAACTTTGAGAAATAAATTTTATTTCTTTACCAATTATCCAGTTTCAGATATTGTGTTATAAGCCTCAGAAAACGAAATAACACATGTCTATGTTCACAATGTCATTCTAAATAAGCAATAACAATCTATTTCTGGGCTCAGGGCCCTGTGACCTGCCCTCTTAACTAGAGGCTTTCCAACCTTTTTAACCATAACTCACAATAGGAAGTACATATTATGCACACACACATACACATGCACATGTGAAGGGGTGCGTGTGTGTGTGTGTGTGTGTGTGTGCGCGCGCGACCTTAGCCTGACTACAAGCAAGGCACTCTGCAACTTTCTAATTGTATTCCATTTCTTTCTTTCTTTCTTCTTTTTCTCTTTTTCTTTTCCTCTTGTCTTTTTTATTTTTTAAAAATTCTGGGAGCTGTAAACTCGTATTTGTTTACAAATCTCCTCTTTAGCTTCCTCGCTCCAACACCCTCTTCACCATTCTCAACCTTTTTTACTCTTGCTTGGGCAGTCATTTCAGTGTTGTCGAGTGACTTTTCTTTTTGTGTTTGGCAGCAGCTCCCAAACTGTTTGTTGCATATTAATTAGTCAGATAGTTTAGGATTTAACTAGAATGAAGAGTCAGGTGAAAGGGTCATTCACACTCTAGTGCTAAATTTAATAATGTCTCTCAAACGGTAACCCTGAATTCTCACAGGGTAATTGTGAGATGACTTACAAAAAAAAAAAACAGAGGTAAATTCATATGTGAAAGGAAGGAGAGTTTTATGAGCTTGAAATCTTCCAGGGTTCTCCATTCTCTCTCTCACTTTGCTTGTGAGTTTTTTTTTTCACTTCAATAACAATAATAATAATAATAAACTTATATTGAGCCCTTCCTAAGGGCTTTGCATGATTATCTCATCTATCCTCACAACAACCCAATGAAATAGGTAGTATTATTGTCTCTGCTTTACACATAAGGAAACTGGGGCACAAAGAGGTCGTGAAACCTGCCCAATGTCACTGAGCCAGGTTTAAAGCAAGGTTTGCCCAGAGCCTCGGCTCTTACAGTCTGCAGCGGCGCCTCCCCTGGTCCTTTGACTGTCACCTTGAGTGTACCCAAAGGTGTGTACTTGAAAGCATGCATTTATCATGTCAATATTCTTTCCACATATAAGTAGCAGGTAGCAGGAAGAATAAAATAGGTTCAGCCCGCTCCCTGGGGAAGAGGAATTTTGGCTGCTCTTTGCTACCTTGCTGCTCCCTGATATCTTCAGTGCAAAAGGCTTTCAGAATATGGATAGAACTCACTTCTAGCTATCTCTGTACTATAGTATTTCTCAAAAGTGTCGAAAAAAGATGGTGAGTTGCAAGAAAAACAAATGTTGCAAGGCCAAATAAGATCAGAAGTCAATAGGTTACAAGTTTTCAAATACCCTGTACTACAGAAATTATCTGATACTTTCATAAGCCCCAAGCAGGAGAAGGGCCAGGTACTAGCCTGTAGCATTTCTAAACATTTAACCACAGAAAGCTTTTATTCTGAGGAATATATCCCAGAACCACTGCAGGAGGGATGGGATCTCCACTCAGGGATTTGCAGCAAATTACAGGTGTTCAGGATGTATCATAATCACTGCAGAGGAAGCTTCTAAAAACATACATGCATCCTACCCTATTACTGCTACTAACTGACAATTCACCAGGACTAGTAGGGACCTGAGGATACATATTTTGAAAATGTTCCCCCAGAAGATCTTGATATGAACCTACCACCATATACCTGAAAATCTGTACAACAAAAAGAAGGCACCACCTCAACTGCTTCCAAAAAATACCATCACGATAATGAGAACAAAACTGCCATCTATGTGCTTCTTACTATGTGCTGGTTCTTTGCACATATTTAGACAGAAGAGCATTTTGCTGACAAAGAGTTGAGGTCTGGTAGGGAGAAATTTATCACCATCCCAGTTCAGTGATTACAAACCTCGAGTGTAGTGAGAGGAAGCTGCCTCGCCTGCCCTGAGAACCAGAGAAAAGTCCTCTGTATTAGTCCATTTTTTGTTGCTTATGATAAAATACACGGGACTGGGTAATTTAAAAAGAAAAATGACATTTATTGCTTACAGTTTCTGAGGCTGGGAAGTCCAAAGTCCATCTGGCAATGGCCACAGTACCCCAGGGGTCTCACATTGCAAGATGGTGGAAGCAGAGAGCAGCAGAGAGAGACAGACTCTCCTCTTCTTTTAAAGCCCTCAGGACCATGCCCCAGCCACCATTTTTATTTTATTTTATTTTTTATTATTATTATTTTTTCCTTTTTGTCTTTTTTCGTGTCCGGCAACGGATCGCAACCCTCAGTGTCACGCCTGTACTGGACCGGACCGGCAACGGGATCGCAACCCTCGGTGTTGCGCCCGCACCTCGCTCAGCCAGTGAGCGGGAACCGGTCTGTATGTGGGATCCGAACCCTCGACGGGAGCGCCGCCGCGCTCCCAAGCGGCACACTGTAGTAGTGCGCCACCGGGCCGGCCCCCAGCCACCATTTTTAATCCATTCACTACAGTATGGTCCTACAATCCAATCACCTCTTCAAGGCTCTACCTTACAATTACCATAATAGGATTTCCCACCCTCTTAACAGTCACAGTGGGGGCTAAGTTTCTAATATATAAAACTTGGGGGACACAATGCAAGTTTCAGTGAGTTTGGGGAGGATATAATTCAATCCACTACATCCTCTTTCCTGGTGGATTTTGTAATAGGACCTGCCCCTGACAGATTGTTCCAAATTTCCTTTAAGAATGATACTTAGTGCTTTCTACCTGTTGATCACTGCTTAAACGTTGAGCACAGATCACATTCACTAGGATTCTTTTAAAATGGGACTACATAACAATATATAATAATGACAAGTGATATCAATAAATAACTTGATTGAGCACACACTGTGTGCCATGGGCAGTTCTTCTAAGTGTTCTATACCTGTTATTTCTTTCTAT